CATCGGTGTATGAATGTAATAGTCTAGAGTATCTTGATAAGATGGAAAGACACAAGTACAGTACAGTCCATTTACCATTTATCTAATACAGATACTCAAAGCGTTTGACACTACAATCTGTGTCCTCATTAACCCATTCATACAGTACTCTGCTATATCTATACAAAGAATAGCTATGTTTACATGCTCAAAATTCTTTGATCGTATTGAAATGTTTTCGGATGAAATAATTCAAATGTATCATTTACATGGGCACAATGTGTTCACAACGAATGTTTACATGCAGCTGGCTTTCATTTTGAACAGAAGTACTGACATGCGCAGAGTGGTAAACTCTCCTTAAAAAAAAACACAGAAGAAGAAGTTCTACTTCCGGTTTACTTACAAATGAATATAAACAAACCCGAGCGCCCAAAATGGACCCGCGACAGGTTTGAATGACGGTGGAGACATTACTGCACTCCCTGACTGAGCTACAGGTAATACAGATAATTTTAAGCTCTTTCAAAATTTCTAGTAGAAATGTTGTGTCGCTCACCAAGCAGTTTTGCTTCCCTGACATGCTAATACTATTAGCATTAGCCAGGCGGAAATGGCAAAGTCGCACATGCGCAGTCAGGTCAGTTTTTCACAATCAGAAAAAAAATGAACAGATAAAGTGTTTACATGCACACCTTTCGGATTATGAATCAGCATAAACCACCTGTCTCATTCTGATCACAAATGCTTTTGGATCGAGATGAATAAACAAAAATAATCAGAATGGGGTGTTTACATGACATTTTTTATTCCGAATGGCCGTTTAATCCGATTACTTATGTCCATGTAAACATAGCTAATAATCAGCGCTTTATCACATTCATACACTGATGGGACGCACATCGGAGGCAATGACGGGTTCAGTGTCTTGCCCAGGGACACTTCAACATGTGACTGCTGGTGGAATCAAAACCCCAACTCTCCCATTGAAAGGCGACTGCTCTAACCACTCAGCCACAGTTGCCCCATAAACTATTGCCCCTTTTCCACTGTCACGGCGCGGGTCGGATATTTCTGGGTTGAAGCGCGTTGGAGGTATTTCCACTGTTCCAGAAACCGGCTCGTCTCGCTAAATTTTGGCCCGGCTTCTCAAGGGTTCCGAGCGAGCCGCGCCGTGACGTCAGAAACACTGTCGGTCACTGATTGGTCGGGGGGAGGAGTCTGTGGAGTCTTTCCAAACAACCCGATCCACCATTTTTTTCTCTACCGCTTGCCATTAGCGATAACATGAGGAGCGTATATTTTAGTATTTTGAAGCTATACAACAACAATAATATCAAAGCCGTGGTCAAATGCAGAAGTGCAGGTGTTGTTGTGCTTGGTGGCCGACGAAAAAAGTCAAAGCGAGCTAGATGGAGGATTGGAGGGTGGTTTGGACACGACTACTGCTCTACTTGAACCATTTATAGAAGATGGTGAGTGTTTTCTAACTTTAAACATATTTTAAATTACTCATCCCATCGGTTCTGAACATATTTTTAACTAACAAAAGAGGCTGACGCCATAATAGTACAACGTCGGTGCTACGATGCTAAGCTAATTTGCATAAATGCTAACTGTCCTCCGGTCCCGTTTCTCACTGTATTTTATCCAGAACGTCTTTCAGCGCGTGATGGTTCATCTCTAAACTCCACATTAAACCCTCCAAGCCTCCTGGCTCCTGCTCCTGCTCCATCAGAGGAGTCTACACCTGACAGGTCTCCATCACAGCCCACCTGCACCTCACAGAGCAGCACAACGCTGCAGCTTCTGTGCTCGGTAAGATGCAACATGTTCCACATCACTTTATTTGTGCCGATAAGGACTTGATTTATTTTATTTTTAAAGTAAAAAACTAAAATGTTGAATAAATACTGAATTGGGATGAAATTATGTACACAGGGTCCCAGTTACAGACAACAAAACGTAAAATAAAAACAGTAATAAGATCTAAGATATGAACTAAGAAAAATATCAACTAAAAAACATCTACTAATAAAACACTAAGCACTAATAGCAGTAAACAATCAAAACAATACGTCAAACAGCAACATGAACTTGAGTTTGTGCAGCCTCATGAATATATAACACTGTGAAGAATCACATCATGTAGCTGCTGATCAGTTTCATGTTGCTGCTGATCAGTTTCATGTTGCTGCTGATCTGTTTCATGTTGCTGCTGATCCGTTTCATGTTGCTGCTGATCTGTTTCATGTTGCTGTGTTCATTCGCGCTCGTCTGTTCACACAGACTCATGTCCGTGCTGCTGTTCTGCGTATTGTGTTTAATGTTTTTATGCTATTAGAGCTTATATTTTTAGTTGATGTTTTTATTAGTTCATATCTTAGATCTTATTACTGTTTTTCTTTTATATTTTATTGTTGGATGTAACTGGGACCCTGTGAACATAATTTTGATCCACCACATGGACCACATGTGGTGCGAATGACAAAGAATATCTGCATCTGTATAATACTTTCTGATTCATATATCCATTATTATCATTTTCATTATTTTTAAATCAATTTATTTTTCATTTTCTTATTTGATCAGTTTATAATTATTAATATATCTATTATAGCTGTTAGCAGCACCTTTCTTTGTTTCATGCATTTATTCAAAAACAGTATGTAGCTTGAATTAACCACCTGTTTCTTCTTTCTAGTGAAGAGAAAGAGAAAAGAGTCCAGTAAAGAAAAGTCTTATTCCATCACTGAATGAACATGAAGAACTGAACCGGACACAGCAGGAACAACACTTGTGTCTTCTTCTGGATGAAGCCCGTGAGACAAGGGACAGACACAATCATTAGTTGGACGCAGTAGTTTTTATTTTTGTACATTTTTCACTTCTTACTTTTCCTATTAAACAATTTTTTTCTTAAGTGGTGTCCTTGAACATTAAATTTCCTAAAAAAAATTTACAATGTTAAGTTCATATAGTGTTTGTTTAAATTCATACTGGAATTGAGAAGAATTTCCAATTGCATTTGATCTTTAATGGATCCTAAGAAAAGATTACTAGTATCTGCTCAACTGTTATTATGTTATAATTTTTTGGTTCTAGGATGAAGTGACACAAAAACAGTCAAAAATTCAGAAAGGACAGTTATCAGTTATTGGCCATACAACTGTGGCCTGAGAGATTCAGCTGAAAGTCCTGGTGCACCTTTTATTTGAACCTGCAGAGATTTGAACAGCTGATCTGAAGCAAACAGGCAGGAGTTCACCTGAACTGACCACTCCTGCTGTTTGATGGTCTCCTCCTTCGCCACCCGTCCATCCATCCATCCATCCATCCATCCATCCTCTTCTGCTTCAGGGTTGTGGGAGCAGCATCTTCACCAGGGAGGCACAGACATGAACAGCCTCCTCTTCAACTCTTCTAGGATCCCATGGTGTTCACAGACCAACTGACTATTTATTAATTAATATCCTGATGCTGCTCAATAATCCAGGTAGAAAAATCTAAAAAGTTAAGTCTGGTCCTCTGGACATTCACAAAACAAACAATACAGTTCATAATAAATAAACTAAATGTTTTTTGTTAGTTTTGTTTTTTGAATGTCCAGAGGACCAGACTTAACTTTTTTAGATTAATAAGTAATAAATTTATGTTTTAATTTAATGAAAGACAAATCTTTAAAATTCAAGGACAAAATTTAATCTAATTGTTTTCAAGTTTGTATCTTATTGTAAAAGCAGTTTCAAAGATTACAGCACAGTGTGATGTTTTGCAATTTTAACATGAACCTTGTGCATATCTGCAAATAATAAAAGTGAAGATATTTTTAATACATCTTTATTGTAAAAATCTATACTAAAATGAAAAACACATGGGTTTAAAGCAGCAGGGAAGGCAGTAAGGTAGGATTATGAATCAGGTCTAAAGTTACAGCTCATGAGGTACTCCATTAGAGCAAGACATCTTTTCCACAACATCGTGTGACAAAACCTTCAGGGTGTTCTTCTTCTAATACGTTTAGTGGTGGCTAGTAAGTAGCTTAAGGGAGCACTACCGCCACCAGGTGGTAAGACGAGTTGGATTCTAGTCCCCGCCTACAGAGCTGGTCCAGAAATGTACATGGAAACACAACAGACCCGAACCCATCTGAACCAACCCGAACTGATCTGATCCGCTCTGTGACAGTGGAAAAGGGGCATATGTGAACCTGGATGTCCAAGCAGGGAGTGAGCGTATATTAAATGTATTTTTTCAGGAATGTCAACGCTTCAGTGTAGAACAGTGCTGAGAGACACCATGGCATGGAGCATCAGTCTTCAGCCAGCTGCTGCTAATGAGTCATAATTGAAAATAGATGTGTGCTTCATCCTCATGTGTTTCGCTCTTTGAAGCCCTGCATCCTAATGAACACACTATTTCCAACAATGCAATGTGAACGTGCTAAACTGATTTCTACTGGATGTTACTCTTAGCAGTGAGACAAAGCAGGGACACAAGGTGTAGTAATACCTTTTGCCATTGGTCTTGACTCGTGGTGTCCCGATATCAGCATCAAGTACTTGTACTCATAAAAACACCACAATATTTTAAACTGATACCACTTTTATACTTGGGAGTTGTCATTTCCTCTTCCTTCCACTTTGCAAGTAACCAAGGATAAAATATAAAAAATGTCCACTATTAAGAGATATTTTTAGATTAACACAGGTGATGTTGTCAACAGAATGCTGTGTTATTAATAGAATTAATCTGTTTCTAAAGTCATTATGTAATGTTTAAGTACTAACTCATTAACTACTCTGTATTGGTACTCAGTATCACCAAAATGAAGAATTTGTACTTGTACTCAATCTGAAAAAACTGGTATCAGGACACCCCTAGTCTTGACCCTTTAATATCTTATTTGTTCTCAGTTTTTGAACACTTTGGTTTTGGTCTTGACTTGGTCTCAGGTTAAGTGGTCTTAAGTGCAATATAAGACTAAAGTAATCATTTGACCAAGCGTTTCTTTCTTGTAGAAACGGGACAGATCGACCCCATCCTAATCGAACGCTACAACACGCCTGGCTTTGTGGGTTGCCTGTCCAGAGTTCAGCTGAACAGTGTAGCACCACTGAAAGCTGCACTTCGCTCAGGCACAAGGGCACCCGTCAGCACCCATGGGATACTGGTTCCATCTAACTGTGGAGCCTCACCCCTGACCATCTCTCCCATGGCCTTGATTAATGACCCCTGGCATATAGAAGCTGGTAGACACACACAGTCTCAATGAATCTAACATAAAAATACAAAACATGCATTGCAACTCAAATGAAAAGCAATCGTTTGCCTTTTTTTTTTTTTTACAGTTGGAGCTGTTTTCCCCTTCAAAGAGCAAAAGACCAATCGTGATGTTGAGGATCACAACTTTGCTGTAGTTGCAGGTAAATCTGGTGTAACGTGCAACTAAATAAAAAATACTTAATATTACTCTGTTTGTGCCGGGGCTCTGGATCTTTGTGATGGACCTTAAACAGACCTTAAGGATCTTAAGGACCTTAAGGATCTTTGCCGTAATGTATTTTGGGGTTTAAAAGCCACTTGGACATCATGTTTAGAAAATAAACGTCTCAATTTCTCTGAAATGCCCACTTTATACGGAATGATCCCTGGTCTGGGTTCCTCTTTTTCACCTCATGGCTAGCTGGAGTCCTATTTGGGTTTCTGCTCTGCTTTCAGGAAGGCCCAGCTAGGATATCCACACTGCTCCAGGGTCTGTCTTGTGTGGGATTTCTCCTTCTGTCTGGCTCCTGAGTTATGCCCCTTTTCCATTAGTACCTTTAGTACCAGTACAGCATGGCTCTACTCGACTCGGTATGGTCTGTCTGCTCTGTGGTACAGCGTCCTGATGACTCCTAACTTGTGCTCCAGGGGCTCTAGAGGGTGGCCATTTCTCTGATCACATCAACTCTGGATAAATAGTTCACATGAGAATATGTAAAAGATGACAGGTTGGCTTTCTTGGACAGTGAGGTCTGAGTGATGGAGGACATTTGCAAACTGTGGTGTACCACAAACCCACTCACACAGACCCGTATTTGCAGTTTGACTCCCATCACTCTCTGGAGCACAAGTTAGGAGTCATCAGGACTCTATACCACAGAGCAGGCAATGTCCCCACAAACTCAGGAGCCAGGCAGAAGGAGAAATCCCATTGCAAGACAGGCTCTAGAGCAATGTGGATATCCTAACTGGGCCTTCCTGAAAGCACAGAAGAAACCCAAACAGGACTCCAGCCAGCCAACAGGTGAACAAGAGGAACCCAGACTCAATGAAACCAGTGGTCATTCCGTATGTTGCGGGAGTTTCAGAGACACTGAGACTTTTATTTTCTAAACACAACGTCCCAGTGGCTTTTAAACCTTAAAATACGTTGTGACAAAGACTGGTCCATCCCAAAGATCCAGTCCCCCAGCACAGAGTAATATTGTTTATGCTTTTCAGGGTCAGGAGGGCTATGATTAGGGGTTGAATAGACTAGTCGATTCTAGGACATCTTGGGAGTATTTAAATTTCACATTGATTAGTAACAGCCTGTGATTGTAAATGGAAAATGGACTGTACTTATATAACGTCTTTCTATCTTATTTCAAGATACTCAAAGTGCTACACTACAATTTACACTACAATCTGTGTCCTCGTTTACCCATTCATACAGCACTCTACTAGATCTCTACAAAGCTAATTGAACAAATCATTCTAAAGAGACTAATCATTGCTTTATCACATTCATACACTGATGGGACACACATCAGAAGCTATGAGGGGTTCAGTGTCTTGCCCAGGGACACTTCAGCATGTGACTGCTGGTGGATTCGAACCCCCAACTCTCGCATTGGAGGACGACTGCTCTAACCACTCAGCCACAGCCGCCCATGTTGTGTCACCTGCCACGTGATCAGCGTTGGGCCACTGGCTACAAAATGGATTCTTCCAAGCAGATGGAAGACAAGGAGCAGGCAAAGTCTTCCCAAACGGGTAGAAATTCATCAGCAGTGTGGAAGTATTTCACTAAAGATTATGTTTTTTTATTTTATTTTAGTTAATACACTGTGGGATCCCACCACCGCCCGACCCACTGTTTTTAGTTTAATTTCATTTAATCCACAGTGGAATCCACCACCGCTGGTGGAGAATCCTGCACCATGCGTGGTGGTGGATAGTTTTATTTTTATTTTATTTTATCCACTAAATTAAATAAAAATAAAAATGGGTGCGCACCAGAGAATCCACCACCGCGCACCACCACCAGTGGAGAATCTACCATCACCGCAGTGGTATATTTTATTTAGTGGATTAAATAAATAAAACTAACTTTTGCAGCTTAATAAGTTTTGGTTTTCCTGTTATTTATTTGCAGTATGATAAATGATAGGAGCATAAATATACGCTCCTGATGTTTTGTTGTACTTTTTTTGTGAATAATAAATAATAATAATAATAATTTATTCAATTTGTACTGCACTTTACATTTTACAATCTCAAAGTGCTACAATATAAAATATCTAGAGAGAATAAAACATGGACTAAAAAAAAGGACTAAAAAAACCTGCAGGATTAGATATACCTTTAAACACTATAAAATATTTTAAACAAAAAGGTCTTCAGTCCTTTCTTAAAACTTTCTGTTGTCTGGGATATCCTTAGATGGTTGTGGAGGTTGTTTCACAGTTTAGGAGCAGCAGAGCAAAAGAACCCATCACCCATGGTGCACAGTTTTGTCCAGGAAGGGCGGAGCTGGTAGGAATTTGTGGAGCGGAGGGACCGAGTTGATGTGAATGATAAATGGTAAATGGACTGTACTTATGTAGCGCCTTTCTATCTTATTGAGAAAGCACTTTACACTACAATATGTGCCCTCATTTACCCATTCATACAGCACTCTATAAGATCTCTACAAAGCTAAATGAACAAATCATTCTAAAGAGACTAATCAGAGCTTTATCACATTCATACACCAATGGGACGCATTGGAGGCAACTAGGGGTTCAGCATATTGCCCAGGGACACTTCGGCATGTGACTGCTGGTGGATTCGAATCCCCAACTCTTGCATTGGATGACGACTGCTCTAACCACTCAGCCACTGCCGCCCCTGTCTGAGCAGTGAGCAGTTTTTTTAGATAGTATTTGTTCAACCTTTATTTAGACAGGTTAATCCCATTGAGCCTCGGGGACTTGTTTACAAGAGAGACCTGATTTCTTAACAAAGAGTGATCACAACAGTAAATAACAACGACAGCAATAGACAGTCATAAAATAGGCATAGGTATACAAATTTAAGGTTCTTTTTTTACAAATCAAAACAATTAAAACCAAATAGCAACCAAAAGGACAATTAAGTGGAATAGTAGAAAAAAACTGCTAGATTATATATATGAAGTATGAAGCATTGCCGTGAATGGACTGGTGGGTGAGCAAGGAAACCTTGTATTCAATGCGGAGTGAAATGGGAAGCCAGAGGAGGGATTTAAGGATTTGGGTGATGTGATCATGTTTCCTTTGCTTCATCAGAATCCTGGCTGCATTGTTCTGTACATACTGAGGTTTTTGAATGTGCTTGGATGGAATTCCATAAAAAAGTGCATTGCAGTAGTCCAGTCTTGAGGAGATGAAAGCATGGACAAGTTTTTCAGCATTGGAAAAGGAGAATAATGGATGGAGTTTGGAGATGTTTTTCAGATGAAAGAATGAAGTCTTGCAAATGTTTTTAATATGGGATTCAAATGTAAGATGAGAATCACATCTTACACCAAGATTAGTCACTGTATCAAAAAAGGGAATGTTTTGGCTAAAGATTACGGTAGAGCTAGATGTTGATTGAGTCTGATGCAGGGTACCAACCAAAGTAGCTTGTTTTTGATGTGTTTAATTGGAGAAAGTTGGCATTCACCCAGGCTTTTACCTCTTCAAGACAGGTGGTGAGAGAGGAGAGTGATGAACCTGTAGAATCTATTTTGATATAAAGCTGCAAGTCATCTGCATAACAATGAAAAGAGATCCTGTGGTGAGTGATAATGTGACCGAGGGGGAGGACGTAGAGGTTAAGTAATGTGGGCCCAAGGACTGACCCCTGAGGGACACCACAAGTAACTGTGAGTCCGGGATCTTGCCTCCCCGATGGAGAAATACTCAGATCTGTCAGAGAGGTACGGGCGGAACCATTCCAGAGCTGTCGCAGTCTGTCCTGCAGTGTGTTGTATGTTGTAGGCGGTGGAGAAGGATGCCATGATCCACACAAAAACTGAGCTCAAGTCCAGGAGGATCAGAGGGGAGGGAGAACCAGTATCAGCTACCATCAGAAGGTCATTTGTGACCCTGACCAGAGCTGTTTCCGTGCTGTGAGCTGAACGAAAGCCTGACTGGAATACCTCATAGATATTATTAGTGGTGAGGTGGTCATGTAGATGGGCTGCCACAGGTTTTTCCAGCACTTTGTACAAAAATGGAAGGTTGGCAACAGATCTATATTTGATATGATGGGCTGGATCCAAGATGGAATTTTTCAGGAGTTTGATGATTGCAATTTTCAAGGTAGGTGGGACAAAACCAGTTTGGATGGAGAGGTTTATCACAGATGTGATCAAAGGACTAATAAAAGAGATGTTTCTTTTCAGCAGAGCAGTGGGGAAAGGATTGAGAGCACAAGTAGAGGATTTCATTCCTTTGATAATAGCTGTCACTTCTTGCTCGGAGACTGATGTAAAGCATTGAAGAAGTTGAGGATTTTTATCCTGGGGCTTGTAAAATGGTGCAGGTGAAACTACAAAGTACAAACCGGATTCCAAAAAAGTTGGGACACTAAACAAATTGTGAATAAAAACTGAATGCAATGATGTGGAGATGGCAAATGTCAATATTTTATTCATAATATAACATAGATGACAGATCAAAAGTTTAATCTGAGTAAATGTAACATTTTAAAGGAAAAATATGTTGATTCAAAATTTCACAGTGTCAACAAATCCCCAAAAAGTTGGGACAAGTAGCAATAAGTGGCTGAAAAAAGGAAATTGAGCATATAACGAACAGCTGGAAGACCAATTAACACTAATTAGGTCAATTGACAACATGATTGGGTATAAAAAGAGCTTCTCAGAGTGTCAGTGTCTCTCAGAAGCCAAGATGGTAAGAGGATCACCAATTCCACCATTGTTGCGCAGAAAGATAGTGCAGCAATACCAGAATGGTGTTACCCAGCGTAAAATAGCAAAGACTTTTAAGTTATCATCATCAACCGTGCATAACATCATCAAAAGATTCAAAGAATCTGGAACAATCGCTGTGCGTAAGGGTCAAGGCCGTAAAACTCTACTGGATGCTCGTGATCTCCGGGCCCTTAAACGTCACTGCACCTCAAACAGGAATGCCGCTGTCAAGGAAAT